AACACAAAATGCTAACACTTAATATTACCATGGTCAGTGCCATAACTAGAATTGGTTAACAAAGTGAAATATGATTTTTGACAACACTGATTTTCCTCCTCAGATGCTGAAGCTTTCAGATAAAGACTTTGAAAAACTTGGTTTGACAGCAGGAGCTAGAAAGAAAATTCAAGTTAACCTGGAAGTTCTACGGTATACTTATAAACTTATTGCAGCTGTGAAACAGTTTGTTGTAGTGGGGGTCTAACTTTGTGTAATTCAGGGAAGTGAAGCTTAAAAACAAAGCTTTGCATACCTTACAATGGAGTATGGCGGCCTATTGGTTGGCACACTGTGTCCTCAAACAAAACACTCAAACAGTGCCAGTCTCTAGCAGGGCCAGGGGAGGTACTCCCTATAGTGGTTTAAATGGCAAGACTCTCCCTAAAAGGGGTACCTTTTTCAGGCTTCAGGTATATGAAAGGGTAGGGTACAAGTCAAGGGTACAAGTTGAGGCATATGAAAGGGTAGGAGCATCCATCATTTAGAATGTCTTAAATTTTACATTGAAGGGCTGGACATAGAATAACTTCATGTGAAAGTCTCAGCTCTCTATTTATCTTCATGAGTGAACTAAAAGAACAACTTACTGAGTTGTTCTCTGCAGGTATTTGAGTGATACCAGTTTCCTTATAGTAATTGTTTTGTTATTGTTGTATAGGACAAGTGGCTGTTTCACCTCCAATGGTTTAACAATAGTGGACATTCTTCCGTCTCCACCATCAGACCTAACTCCTTTGCAGACCTCGACTCACTCCAAAGGCATTTTAATACCGTCTAGTTTTCCTGTTCATCCACCAGCACTAAGTTACAACTCCGACAGTGAGTTTCTGCGTAGTGTCAGTGAAAGTGACAGTGCGAGTGACTGTGGCAGTGACGTGGTGTCTGAGCCAGGCACTCAGGTTTGTGCTCCTTTTAAGTGAAATTTGTTCAGCAAGCTGCTACTGCAAATTGGAAGAAGTTTATTTTGATGTCACAAATTGCCTTGCTGGGCAGAAAGATCTTGACTGCTTGAAAAGTGTAATAATTATAAAAGGGTATAGGGAGCAAGTAACCTCTATGGTATGCTGGCGTTGTTTTGGTGTACATTGTACATGTATGGATGTAGCTTTGTTGTTAACTTTCATAAGAGAAATCAGCTGCTCACAAGTAAGGTAGGGAGGGTAGGGAGGGTAGGACAGGGGGTTGGAGGAGGTGTGACAGCCCAGTGTGTTGGACTCCATATTGGAGAGTCTAGTTTCAAGACCTGGCTTTAGTTGTGTTCTTTGGCAAGACACTTATCTCTCACAGTGCTTCTCCCCATTCAGCTGTATAAATGGCCTACTGGGAAATTTAATGTTGGGGGCAACCAGGTGATAGACTAACATCCCATCCAGGGAGATTTGAAATACTCCTAGTCGCTTTATTGAAACCAGAGATTTCGCGCTGGCCAGATGAGCTATCAGGCTTGAACAGGGCTCTATGAATCAAGAGTGCTATATCCCATTAGTGAGGGTTTATTTTGTCAAATTGTTGTGAAGATGGCATGATTTTTAAGCAAGACTTGCAGCCACATAATGGATACATTGGTGTCTCTTTTTTAGACAGGTTGTTCCAATATTTATCCAAGAAAATTTGCAGTTTTGAATGGTTGCCGTCTGTCTTGTTACAACTGTGGCAGTCTTGGACATGTTGGTCAGCAATGTATGGCTCCAAATCTGGACAAAAAGCTGCCAAGTTATGGTATGTCTTCTACTTAATTTATCATCTTGTCTTATAATAAGCAGTGTCATATATTTTTTATTATATAGACACAATTGTTTTACTGGAAAATACACCACTTGAAAAATTCATTTAAGAATTTACATCTGACACCCTAGTGGCATATTTTCCTTATCCTCACTAGCAAGGACATTGATGATGTCATTTCACGCCATTGCATTGCGCCGCTGTAAATCTTTGCCAACTGGCGACTGAAAGATGGCGAGTGATTGGGAAGTTAAGGCGGGTCAAAACAGTTTCCAGCACTTAGATTTTGATGGGTCATTATAACCACTCTTTATCACTTGATGCTACAATCATGGTATTAAAAAACTGACCAATGATTGGTGAACACATTGTTATCATTTTTGTGATGATGTAGCACAAGCTCCCAA